TTGAAATAATTTTTTTTAGCAAGCTGGGCCTACGATTGAAACTTTCAAACCACAATACATGGAACTATTTAATCCAATGTAAATTTTTGTTCTTTATTAATGTGAAGCTGGTGATTTGTCATCCAATCCAAAAACCCCTTACAATAACCCTAACCCACGCTATAGTTCTACTCCTTCGTCCAAATGAAACCATGCAAAGCTGTAGTATCTGTTTCTATTTTTGACTGCAACAGAGTCGGGATTAAACATGGGGAGGCAGCATTCCAGACATATGCACCAAAAATCTGGAGCAATCTTCCTGAAGGAGTAAGACAGGCCAGTCCCCTGGATAAGTTTTTTTTTTTTTTTGGTGAGTAACGGCCGTGTACAGCAATGTGTAAAGGAAGGAGAGAGCCACAGGAAACCAGTACAGAAAGGCAAGGCGAGGAAAGAAAGTTTTAGAATTGAAAAAGTGTTCATGACCTGTGTCTGTGAATGTTCATAACTGCCTTTTGTGTGTGTTTTTTACAGTGTGTTTTCATTTGCGGTGGTTTGGATTTATTGCTGATCGACTAAATAACGGTGGTCCTTTATTTTTTCACTTTTCGGTCTGATAAACCTGATCTAAAGACGTGACAGAGGCCAACAATACATGTATGTGAAAACTAAAGATTATATTTAGAGCTACAGTAAGTAAGGTGGATTCTACTACTAACTTTAGTTGTATTTTTGTGATTTGAAAGCTACCTCAGTTTATAGTATTTAAGCAATCTTAATTTCACACAAAGCGCTCTACAATCTTTATTATGATTTCAGGCATTCAGTTGTAAAAATCACTTTACTCTATCGTCCCCAATCGTCCCTCCACATTCATGTCTCTCAATGGCGTTGTCACACCTGTGTCGCACCACCAAACAATCCCCGTTTGTTGGTGTGCGTGGCGAGCGAGCGAGAGAGAGAGGCGCCCACCGATGATGTCAGCGGCGGAGCCCAGCTGTGGTGCGAGGAACTGTGACGAGTGTGAAAATGTGGACAGCCTCCTCTTCATCGACGGGTGTCAAAAAAACATGTACAAGCTGGAGTGAGAAGCAGCGAGAAGCCTGTGAGCGTGATGCACTTGGATTTGTTTGGGGGTTTTGTGAGTAATGGCCGTAAACAACATAGTAGAACAGGTGAGAGGATAAAGTGTGTCGGTATAGCCCACGGCAGTGAATAGGCAAGGCCAGGAGATAAACAGTTTGTTTGTATAGCACAGTTCATGTCATGGTGTGGCATTTTTGAATACTTTTACATGGTTTTGCTTTACAATACTGGGTTCGTTTAGTGTTACTCGTATCTGAAATGCTGCCTCCCCGTGTTTAGTCCTTGACTATTGACACCGGCAGGAGGCCACTCCCTGTGCTTCTCAGAGTCCCAGCAGGAGGCCAGTCCCTGTGCTCCTCAGAGTCTAAGTTAGTTCATATGGCACTAACATATCGCAGTTGTAGTTTGGTGCAAGGCTATGGAGAGACTTGTAACAAACAGAGCTGATTTACAGTCTATTCTCTGAGCCACAAGAAGAAGTGCAGAGACTTGAGAACGAGACTAATGTGTGATGGTACTTCTTGGTTCTGGTCAGGACTCTAACTAGTCTTTACTTCCCTTTAAGCACAGCCATGTTTCTGATGATAATGTAGATGTGGCCCATTACTAAGAACGAGTTCCTATAACAAGGTTCCCAAAAGATTCAGGAATTCAACAACAAAAACAAACCCATACCCATAAAATACTCCCAGTATATTTGTGACAATAATCAATGTAGTAAGGACGATTTTGCATGCCACATTTTCCACATCAGTGTTTTTCAACCAGTGTGCCATGGAAAGTTAGTGGTGTGTCTTTGGAAATGGTCAAATATCACCTATTTGGTCAAGGATTAGAAAGATTGTTTTGTGCTTGTTTGAATTCTATACAATACACTTTGCTGAGCATGACTTTTAGTGTTGATAAAAGATTTAGACTTTCATGTTTGTATAAGTTTTATCTAGTGTTGTGCCAAGTGTTTGTTTCAATGGAAAAGGTGTGTCACAACTCAAAATGGTTGGGAACACTGGTCTACATTAATACCTCTTCATTCCTACGCTGGTCCAGACAAAGATTCAATCCCACTCTCTGCATTCCCGCGTCCCTGCCCTCTCCCACGCTGTCCTTCCCGCTGGTATACTGTACAGCGAGGCAGAAATAGGGTGTGTGCATTTCGGTAAGACGCCAGCGGCAAGGACACTAACCACGTCCGACTCTCCTATTCTTCAGCGGTCTGTCCTGAAACGTTAGAGTGGCTCAAACTGGGACACAGCACCGGAACGCACTCCAGTTTGTGTTACGGTGCTGTGTTTCTGTACACAGGCCACACAACACACAAACAGAGACCGGTGAACGTGCTTAAAATGCAGAGATACAAGAGTGTTGCGTTTGGTGGGCTTTTAACTCCAGGTGAAAGCATTTTTTGGTTTTCTCCGGAATTCCAAAAGGTCAATATAAGCTGAGGTGAAAAGGAGTGTAGGTAGATGCGAGAATAGATCCTAAAATTGACATTTAAAGAAAACGTCACATGCTTCTTCTCTGGTTCATAATCTGCAAACTCACGAAGGATATCACGTTGATGGTGGTGCGCAAGGCAAGGCAAGTTTATTTGTAAGGCATAGTCATGGATCTATAATAATAACTGGATAGGGCATTACTAGCTTATAGCTGTATAGCGAGTCTCCACTGTGCAGAACCGGGAGGACCTGACGATGCCCAAATACAGTATAGGCAAGTTCTGCTAATCTCCCGGTCTTCGCGAAGTCCCATGCGCTACCGAGCACAAGCCATTCATTTGAATAGGGCGCCATCTTGGATCACCGGGGAAATTACTTAAATTACTTAAAGTTATATATGAGGATTTTCTACCTCAGGATGGACCATCAAGACTGTTGGGCCTCCCAATTGTAAATCATTTTGATGATACGTGCTCATACAATTAATACCAGAGAGTTTTGGAGAGGACGGTTCTTTCCTAAAATTGGGAAAATCCTCCTATATACCTATAACAAAAGAAAAGAGGACTCTAAAGGTAGCAATGCAAAAAATAATGATAGAATGATGATAATAAAATAAAAGTTTGAGGTAAAAACCAAACTCAAAGATCCAAACGGAACCATGAACATGGACAGACATAGGTCAGCAACCAATGGATAAGAGCAACATAAAGACCAGTGTTGTGCCAGTTCACAGCTTTTCTGAACTAGTTCAAGTTCAGTTCATACATGCTCAAAGTGAACAATTCACGTTCAAAGTTCACATTTTTAATTCTGAACTAGTTCAAAGTTCAGTTCATTTTACTTTTTTCTTGAGATAAATACATATTTATTTCACACTACGAGCTATATATATAATTATATATATATATATATATATATATATATATATATATATATATATATATATATATATATATATAATATATATAATATATATATAATATATATATATATTTATATATATATATATATATATATATATATATATATATCTCCTGTCCTGGGCGGCACGGTGGCTGAGTGGATAGCACTCTCGCCTCTCAGCAAGAAGGTCCTGGGTTCGAATCCTGGTCGGACCAGGGCCTTTCTGAGTGGAGTTTGCATGTTCTCCCTGTGTCTGCGTAGGTTTCCTCCGGGTACTCCGGTTTCCCCTACCACTAAAAATATGTCCAATAGTTCTAGCATGCGCCTCCAGTACTGGCGACCCCGCTCCCATCTCTGTGTGGAGTGAGAGACAATTGCCCAATATTAACAATTGTAAACCGCTTTGAGACTCAGATCTGTAGTGAAAAGGCGGTATATAAATAAAGATTACTTACTGTACACCCACAGGAGGAGAGCCTTTTGACTACAAAACAGACCAGATTTATATGGTTTTCAATGGGAGCAAAACGGAGTGGTCCCATCTCTGATCATAAACTACAAACAGTAATGCGCTGTAGTGCGTGTGTCTATACTTTATGTCAGCCATTCCCAAACTCAGTAACACCGAGGCCCCCTTAAAAATCTGACGGGTCTGCGTGGCCCCCCAAAATAATAACCAAGAAGACAACAGAATAGGCTCTTCTGGTTATTTTATTTTGGGGAAATAGCCTCTGCTACAAACATTGTAATACAAAAATGATTACAGTGGCTTATTCAAGTCAAATAATGAACACAAATATTTTAATATTACAAACAAAACATTATACATTTAACATTAAATAATTATATTATATTATTTTTTTATTTTTTTTATGACCTCCCGCGGCCCCCCTGCAGGACCCCACTTTGGGAGACACTGCTTTATGTCAAATGTAAACGGTGTAAACTTTGTCGCTAACTCACCCTGTGTTTTCATCACGACTCGGGCACATGTGAAAAGCACCAGCTCAAAGCGCCGCACCGCAACACGGAGTTGGGGTGCGTTCAACGACGGTGGAAACCATAGGAATTTTTGGATTTCGGCGGAAAAAGTGCGAGAATACAGGAGGGAGAAACTTTCTCTCGTTGCGTTTCAAAAGAGAAAACAGATTCCAACGTTCATAGTGATGTCTGCCGTTCATGACACATACAATGAACTAATTCACGCGTTCTTTTGAACTCGTTCACGCACAACACTGATAAAGACACAGAGACACACTAGCATGGGGCAAACTACCAACGCAAGGGAACAGAACAGGAAGTAAAAGTATAACAACACAAGTCAAAAAAAAAAAGAAAATCACACATGGCATAACAACATTGACCCAAACAATCTAGGTTGCCAGGTAGTGGAAAAAAATGCCATTTCATCTGCGGCCTCAAGTCATGAAATCTGAATCAAATTGTAAACAGATCTATAAATATAAGAGGGAATTTCTCTGTGCATCGCAAAACCTGTTAGCCTATCCACCCCCCCCCCCAACAGCACTCGTGGCCTTTGCTTTTGTATTCACTTACCTCCATTGTGTTACGCGCGGGACTCCCCTGCGCGCTGCCATGGCCTGTCCCCCGGCGGAGTGTGCCTGTGCTCGGGTGGGGCGGTTGTGGCAGTGGGGAGGGGGGTCACCTGGAGCGTGGTGGCGGCGCAGAGAGGTGTGGAGTGTGGGAACCGTCCTGCCCAGGCTTCGGATGACACGGATGGAGTTACGGCCTGGCCAAGAGATCCTCGACACACGATACGCACTCTCCTTTTCCCCCCGACAGCACAGCGCGACACGGAGCCCAGCGCAACACACTTTCTCTGGCGGTGGCGCGCACTCGGCTTGATTGCGGTTTGGGAGTCGCGTTACGGGACAAGAGGGAGGTGTGCGTGAAGAGGGCAGTGCTGTTGTGGTGGTTGTTGTTTTGTTGTATTGTCAGTGTGTGGAAATGTCAAATTGAGCGAGTGAAAGTGGGATTAGCACAGTGATTATAATTATATCCGTTGTTATTATACATTTATTTTTTGATTTGATTATGAAATGATGCCAAGCAAGTCAATGAAGAGATTTTATTTGACATTTTTCTAATTAAGCTTCTGCTCCATGCAGTTTCATACATTTCACATTAGGAGCCGCAGCCACCCCAGTTGTATGTATGTTGCGTAGATTTTAAGACATTTTATCATTTTACAACTGATAATTTGCGTGTGAAAAAAAATATATAATTTAAGAGTGGATAAACTTTATTGATCCAATAATGGAAAAATGCACATGTCACATTTGGCATAGATAGAATCACTCAGATTGTGCAAAAAGACAGAAGAGTGCAAAGTTTCCTCTCACAATGGAGAAATATACACATGTAACATTTGGCATAGGATCACTCTGGGTGTGCCAAAAAGTTAATATTAAAAAAAAAATAGTATTATTGGGTGCAATAGAAGTACAATATAAGTATGTTATGTACAGTTAGAATTAAAAGTGACAACAGCAGTGCAGGTCATTCAGTGACTTATTGTACAGTCTGAGAGCGGTGGGATGAAGGCCCTTTGGTAGCGCTTCCACTGAAAGAGAAAAGACTGAGGTTATAAATGTAGTTTAAAATTTAAGGTACAGTATGTCATATGCACTGTTGTGTTACACAGGTACAACTCTGTATAAGATAAGATAAGATAGACTTTATTGATCTCACACAGGAGAAATGTGCATGTCACAGGCATGGATAGAATCACTCACGGTTGTGGAAAAGAAAGAAATGTGCAAACATGTTAAATGCAGGATATACATACAATTTTATTCAGCATTATGTATGTGTACCAAAAAAGTACCAAAAGGCAGCATTAAAAATAAAGTGCAATTTTAATGAATAAAACCAAATCCAGGGTTTTTGTACTGGTCAAAGTCACAACCGCTGTCATCTCTAAAAGTCCCAGAGCCTCCCCGTCCTAAGACCAGAGCGAGGAGAGAGGCCACTCCTACAGATGGACAGACTGTCGAAGAGTCCAGGACTGACCCCACCTCCGTTCACTCAGGCTTCTGTCTTTGAACACACAGTTCTTCCCCTTTCAGACGTGATCAGTGCCTCCTGTCACCTTTACTCTCCAGGTTGTCCACAAAATGATGTGTTTTGACTATTTTACGTTCTTGTGTTTGCGGCGCAGACAGGAAGTGCCCTGAAGGCACTGCTCTGTCTCCTGTCCGGCCGTGTGCGTGCATGTGTGTGTGTGTGCATGTGTGTGTGCATTTGTGTGTGTGTGCGTGTGTGTCTCCGGTGTGGACTGATCAGCCTGGGGACAGTGTGAGACAATAGAAACACAGCTGCTGAACAGAAGCAGGTAAGAATGTAGATGATAAAATAAATCAAAAACAAAACATTGCAAATGTTAAAAGATGCTTTATCCATCATTTAAGAAAGTAATTTTTTTGCAGATTTTTTACACATTGACTTACATTTCTAGATTTTTTTTTTCTAATATTGAACTTTTAGCAATGTCTATAAAACGACATTTAACTTATAAAAGATTAGTAAAACATATGTATTTATATATAATCTTTTCTGTATATATTTTTCCCCTTTCTCCTTGTTTTGACCACCCCCGTAGTTCTAACTCAAACATGTTTGAAAGTGAATAGCAACCTTTTCAAAGCCCTGGAATGGATTTTTTGTGTGAAAAATAGATACATTTGAATTACAAAAAATAATGATGTGATCTTAAACAGCTCCACGCTCTCTAAATACTGGTTTTTACATGTATTTTTGTCTCATCTTTAGATCCACTTTCTCATCCAATCAAAACTCAAGTGTCAAGTGGAGACTCACAGGGCTCTTTCTAAGTATGAAAAAGATAAAATGTAAAACAAAATGTTTTTTTTTTTAAAACCGTATAAAAACACGTAATCTGCCAAATTGGACTGCCATCTCCAAAAACATGACTTGTAAATGCTATTCATTTATCTGTACTCTTCATAAACTTATATTTTTCAACTGTGAAGTGGTCAATAGTATGTTTATGACTGTTTCTTTCAGTCCATATTGATCCTTCCTTCATTGCATGAGACAAATCACATGTTTTATTCGCCTCAAACGTCCCACCGGCCTCAGCTTAAGCTCCAAAATAACAGTTGATCCTCATTTATGAAATAAAATGCTTCATGGTTCGTATTGGGCCCGGGGCGGTGCAGCGACCTAATCCTTTCCCACAATCACATGTCCCTCCTAAGCTTCCGTAGCCTCGCTCTCTGGACGTTACCTCAGCGCACCAGTATGAGGAGTCCATGACGTATGAGGCCTCTATTGTGTTTATGATCCGTGACCGTGACTGGACAGGGAGGAGACAGGAGAAATCTGTATATGTGTGAGGCTGACATTATGTGAAATTTAGATGAAGAGATCCTTTATTTGTCGCACAACAGGGAAATGTCAGTGTTGCATCACAAGTTACAGAACAGTAGGAATGAGGAACATGATACATGAATAATAACTCTATACTAAAATAAGATCAAATTAAATCTCTAGTTTTAGCATGAGAAGCAAGAATTAAGTATTACATCTCTGAGTTTAGCATAATAAAGAGGCAAGAATTAAGTATAACATCTTTGACTTTGAGTGAGTGTGGCATTTATCCAAGCCATCTCCTTTGCCACTAATGGAGCCACAAAATCTTTGCCAGTAATGAAACTTGCTAAACATTCCTTTTTCTACGGTTTCAATTTCTTGATATTTGGGAATTGAACCAGAACAGACTACTTTCCTATCACATCCGCTGCCATTGCCAAACTCCATCCATCCATTTACTTCCCCTTAATCCATTTCCGGGTCGGGGGGGGAGCTGGCACTTTGCACCAGCCCCTCACTGATCCTCCTGCAGGTGGTGAGTACACAGGGGCCTTGTTCTTTCAGTGGGGGCTTCAGGCGGAGTTAAGTGTCTTGCCCAAGGACACAACAACAGCAGTCATCAGTGGGAGTCGTGAAGTAGGTCTCACGGTGGGCTCAAACCCACGACCTTCAGGCCCAAAGGCCATTTTTCTACCAACTGAGCCATTGCCAAAATACAACCAGCAAATTTGGTGCAAACTCTTGACGTCACCAACACCTACCTACAACACCCGCCTCCCCTGTTCGCTGAGTGGCCGGAGGGGAAACAACCGAGATAACAGCAGTTTACGGATAGCTAAGGCCAAGCTACAAGGGCAGTAGTCTAAGCAGAGATGCCCAGACTTCCCTATCCACACACACTTCCTCCTGCTAATCCTGAGACGTTCCTTGGGCAGCTGAGAGACATGGTCCCTCCAGCGTTTCCTGGGTCTTCCTCGGGGTCTCCTCCCGGTGGGATGTGCCCGGAACAACTCCCCAGGGAGGCGTCCAGGAGGCATCCGGAACAGATGCCGGAGCCACCTCAACTGGTTCCTCACAACGCGGAGAAGCAGCGGCTTTACTCCGACCTCCTATTATGTGTGACTGTATATGGACAATGCCGCTAGCTCAATGACGCCCAGTAGGGAAGTTTGGCTCCAACTGAGTTGCATTGAAAGTGCAATGTAGCCCAATGTATGAGCGCTAACCACTGCGTCACCATACTGAAGGATTTGATAATGTGGCACAGGCTTTTTTGCTGACAGGTAAAGGTTTCTTAGGGTGGTGCACTTTGTTGATCTGTGGTCCGAGCGGAGTCTGCAGGGCCCTCGATGTGGCCACGTTACACCGACGTCTCCAAAATGGGCTGAGCAACAACTGTATACAGACTTTTTTTTATTACTTAGTTTTCGCTCAATAGATAGATTTTAAAGATGTTAAAGTCGGAGTTGTAAAATGACTAAACCACAACACTGTCTTCATCTCTTCAGAAAACATGTTATCTTTGTCAGAATTGTACAAAATAGCCCTGTCAGTCACTATTTGATGCTTTGGGTTGAGAGCTGACTGACTGAGTGCAGTGTGACCTTATCTTTTTCACTCTTCTGTCAGATGAAGCTGATCTAAAAATGTGACCGACACCGCAAATACATCTATACCCGAGATTAGTGACATAATGAAATAGTTGTAGTTTGAAAGTTAGGCCCCCCACCTTTAAAGCAGCTCTTTTCACAGTCTTTTTCCCCGTCTCAGGAGTGCTGCGCAGTTTTTTAATGTAAAGTGTGACCAAAAAACATTTAGAGAACGGCGCAACGGGCATTAACCGGATTATAGCCCAGGTTTGTTGCAGTAAAAGCTCTTTTACGTCTCAAACTTCTCCTGATGCATCTGAAGACGAGAGCTGAGGGCCGAGCCACAGAAAGTCAAATCACCAAAGTGAAAGTGCTTCAGGATGAGATCAGGTTTGCAGACTTTGACAGTTATTGGAATTTTGATTGGACTCGAGTCGTCATGTAAAATCTAAGAAGCTTGGAGGAACCCAGAAAAAGTCTTGCCATTACTCTTTCAAGAATTCCACGCTAGCATTTGAAGAGACAGCACCACATCCTGTTTAAAAAGGAATGTGTGTTGAGAAAACGTTGGTATTAGCAAATAGCAGATCAGACTTTAGCTGCAGGGAGTAGCTTTAGGAACTCTCTGAATTAGAAAAATTCTACAAGAAAACCTGCTCTCTAGATTCATTTTATTTGCCATTTGCAATAAAACCACATTGGAATGCATTTGCCAAAATGCCCTGTGTGCACCAAACAAGTACATATAGAAACAAGGGTAAAAATTCAAGAATAAAACTAACTTAAAAAGTGCAGGAAACAATTGACACTGTAAAGTTGATCAACTAAAACATTTTAAAATAACAAGTGCAAGATCATAAAAGTGCTTTGTTTAAACTGATGACAGACTGTGGAAATAAGTTGTTAGCAAAACAAGATGTC